GACCTGACTAGGTAACATCTTCAGTGCTAGAAGAGAGTGGGGTTTGCTCTCTGTTTATCTACAGTAGCTTGCCCTGTCACAGTGTTGGTGGAGGAATTATTTTTTCTCCGTAGTTCCTTGATTAGGCTGCTGTTTACTGCTTGTCTGAGTTGGTAGTTCTTTGATTAGGGTATTGTTTACCGCTTGTTTGTCTAGTATTAATTCTGGTGCTAACCTAAACAGGAATTAATCCTGGTGCTAAGCAGGGATTAACACCAGGATTAACACCAAACAATCAAGCAGTCAGCAATACCCTAATCAAAGAACTACCAACTCAAATAAGCAATCAAGCAGTCAACAACACCCCAAGGACTCCATTGTCTTTCTTTTGTTTTCCATCAAAAATCGGTAGGAAATCACAGTTTTGGCAATGTAATTTTAGGAAGCACTGGAATTTGCCAAATTGGAGTTCAAAAAGTACATGCAGACACCCCCTCCCCAAACTTCTGGCCTTCTGCTTCTACTTGGCGCATTCCTCTGAAAGCCAGCTTTTGCAAAAGGCAGCCAGTTGCTAACCAGGACACCCACACGCTGCCCGCTGCATAAAGTAATTACAGTTCAGAGTTGCGATAGGGAGAGGGAAAAACCACAATTTCCCCTACAGAGCCAGGTACATAAAATTTTTTAAAAGGGAAATCCTATCGTCAACATATACAAGTGTTTCCAGTCCTTTGGACGATCCCATTGCCTTTTGCTTTGTACACAAATCGAAGGGGCAAAAACACCCAGCAGGTCTCACACTTGTTTCCTTTGGAGTCTTCACAAACACTCTCAAGCTTTTCATGGAAGGGCTGAGATCCAAGTGTTCCACCGCCCGGTCCAAATCTTCCTGGGTTTTCAGGGGCATCAGGAGCTGGGAAAAGATTGAACAAACACCGCCGATGCAGCTGGGTTGCAAACAAGAGCTAAGGGAGGAAATGGCTGAACTCTGGGGTCTTGGGAACCGCAGGGGTTGGGGCTGTTGAACCCGGGACGGTGCAAAGCAATTGGAGGTTTCTACTGGAAAACAGAAACAAACACCGGGGGCTGTAACCTTTTCTTCCATCAGAGCATTCCCCCAAGGAGGAATGGAATAAAAGTTATCAAAACAACGGCTTAGAAAAGGAGAAGCACGGAGCGTCCCTCGCTCTGCTAAAAGGAAGACCTGCATCGCGCTGAGTAAATAAAACATCTGGGGCCCGGGATCTGCAGGGCTGGCTATGCACAGAGGGAGCGACTTGGCTGGGCTGCAATTCATTTTGAAGGCAACTTCCAGCTGACCTGGACGACTGCTTACTTAGCTTGTTGGAGAAAGAGGCATGGGCCTTAAGGAAAAGAAAGAGGGAGAGATGCAAGCTTGCTGTGACTTTCTTCGGTTTCCGAAACGGTTATCGTTATACGGCAGTTCATCTGGCTGCCTGAGCCAACAGGGCCATACATATCGTTTGCTGGATGGAGTCAGACTCCAAACCTTTTATCTGGATGATTTCTCACATGCAGAGACCAGAATGCTGCACTTGAACATCCTGGTTTAAAGTCCATTCAAACCCTAGATTCATCCATCAAGAGATCAAAGGTGTGCTTGGCTCATATCTCCCCTCTGCTGTAAACAAGCTAACTTATTACAGGTAGTCCTCGCTTATCGACCACAACAGGGACTGGAAAATTCATTGTTAAGCAGGGTGGTTATTAAGAGAGTCACGGCTGCTTTTACGACTTTTGCAGCGGTCATTCAGCAAATCACTGTGGCTGTTAAGTGAATCACACTGTCATTAAGCGGATCACGCGGTTCCCCATTGATTTTGCTTGCTGGAAGCCAGTTGGGAAGGTCGCAAATGGCGATCACATGACCCCGGGACACTGTAACCATCATAAGTGCAAGCTGATTGCCGAGCACCTGGATTGCAATCACGTAACTGCAAGGGTGCTGCGACGGTTGTAAGTGTGAGGACCAGTTGTAAGTCCCTTTGTTCAGCACCGCTGTAACTTTGAATGGTCACTAAATGAATGTTAGTTAAATGAGGACTACCTGTATCTCATAGTCTTCATGCCTCCATTGGACCGGGGGATCTTTAAGGGCTGTTGTAAGAATGATGGCGAGAAATAGAAGAATGCCAGCAATGTTCTTTGGATATCCTAGATTGGCTAAAGTTCCTAGTTTGTTTCCTTATTTTTGCATTTTTTCCTGCATACATACAAATTGGCTCATTTATTGAGTCGTCTAAGAGTCCATACCCCAGAACTTATTGAGGCACCCTCTTCACTTGGAGGAGTGGTAGTAATTTTATTCAATTACCCCTTAGGGCAGTGTTTCTCAACCTTGGCAACTTTAAGATGTGTGAACTTCAACTCCCAGGATTCCCCAGCCAGCATGGATGGCTGGGGGATTCTGGGAGGTGAAGGTCACACATCTTTAAGTTTCCAAGGGTGAGAAACAATGCCCTAAGGGGTAATTGAATAAAATTACTACCACTCCTCCA